TAGGAATGCCCAACCTTCCTTCTGAGGACAATTCCCTACTAAATGGGAAAATGCAACACAAGCTGAACCTCCTGACTTTTTCCTTGTCTCTGGAACAGATTTCTGCCCAGGCTGCTGAAAACGTTCCTTCTCTCCTTGATTCACCAGCTTAAGGTTCCAGACTTGGTCTCTTGTACTTTGGTCTCGTTGTCAGAAGGGACCATTCACTGGAGAAGGATATCATGTTTGGTACAGTAGAGGGTCAGTGAAAAAGGAGAAGGCCCTCAACTTGATGGGTTGACACAGTGGCTTTAGCAATGGGCTCAAGCATGGCAACAATTTTGAGGATGGCACAGGACTAGACAACGTTTCATTCTGTTGTACTTAGGGTCACTATGTTGGAGCCAACTCAATGACATCTAACAACAACAAGGCCCTAGACTAAGTATAAAACACTTTTAGCCTCGTTCCATGGCCATTCTCCAGGGGTGCCTGCCTGGTACCTTTTCTCCCTGACAATCTTTCTGTTCCCATGAAAGTGACCAGTGATCTCCAACAACTCCAAAGCTTGGTGTGAGGGGAACCACATCCCATCTGCCCATTGCTGGAACCCAGGCCTGATTCAGCCACTGCACTCTAATATCACAATGTGAGGCTTGTCGGAGTTTTTAGCAGACTGGTAATGATGGAGATAGTTAAAATTCATTGAATGTTTATTTTGAGTGCACATAATAAGCATTCAGTGAATGGACCTACAATTCATAGGATAAATATAGAGTTTTAAATAGATCTCACATCCTCACAACATTGCTAAACGATTAGTACTATTATTATCTCCATTTCACAGATGATGAACTGAGTCTGAGCATGGTTAAGTGATTTGTTTGAGGCTATAAGGCCAATACATGTGGAATCTTTGATGCATTGTTAGGAGAATCCAGTGTCCCTTTCACACTTGTGTTGATCACTCTGAAAATACTTACTATAGGAATAATGTCCAATAAAACACCTTGTGGATGATGATTCACTTCAAGAGATGATTAGCTTTTTCAAGCCTCCTTCCTTGCTGCATTCCTTCCTTCTTTCATTTCTACTTTCCTGCTGTCCTGCCTTCATTCAGTCAATCTTTTTATAGCCTGCCCTATGCTAGTCACCAGGCTATGTCCTGGGCATATATGGAGAACCTTAACATTTAGAGAAGAAACCAAGCATGAAAGAAGCTTTCTGTGAGAAGCCCTTATTCTCTCTTGCTGGTGGGACAAGAGAGGAGTGTTCTTGCCCATACAATGAGCTCTGTTCTTAGCATTGTGTATAGGAAAGTGCTGCCCATGTTCATGCCAGGCATAAAAACAAGTTGTAGTTTCAATTGCTATTGTCCTGATAGTCAACCTGACACTGTCACTCAACTATCCTGCTATGAGTTCCTCCCAGCAAAATCACATTTTAAAGAAAGAACAAAGTCTACATTTTTAATTTAATATTCTGGGTTTTGACAGATTATGTAATTTCTCTGGTCTTTAGTTTTATATAAAAAAGAAAAGAAAGGATAATAATACCTCCCATTTACCTTTCATAAATGTCACAAGATCAATGAAGTAGTAAAGTAACCTTAAGAAGACTAAGTATAAGAGCTCTGGTGGCATAGTATATAAGGCACTTGGCTGCTAACCAGAGGTCAGTGGTTCAAACCCACCAGCTGCTCCTCAGAAGGAAGATGGGGCAATCTGCTTCCATAAAGATTTACAGCCTCGGAAACCCAAAGGAGGTCACTATAACTTGGAATGGACTTGATGGCAGTGGGTTTCATTTTCGGTTTTGGCATTGGTTTTGAATATCACTAACACGGCATTTAAGGCTCTGAGTGATGCTGCATTCATTCACCTTTACTCCTCCTCTACCCTGACTCCCACCCACACGTGCCCACATACAAGATTCCAGCCACCATAACCACCTAGCTGTGACCTGAATATGCTCTGAACTAGCCTGGCATCTTGCCTTTCTTTATACTCTTCCCACTGCCTGGAATACCTTCTTCCCATCACTGCCCTCCTCCCACATTGCTCAAATGCCATCTCCCCTATCCTAAAATAACACGCCTTCCTCTTTAGTAACATCGAGTGCCTTGAACTTCTCATATCGCACTCCACATTGGAGCTACAGACGGCACATAACAACAACAAAAACAACAACAACACATTTTAGACTTCCCTGACTAATTATATCTTGCATAGAGCACGTGTTCAGTAAAATTTTTCTTGAATCAAATTCTGCTTTTCTTGTCTATGCTTTTCACTGCCTGTTCACAATACTTCAGTATTAACATAGCCCCTGGCGCATAGGAGATACCCAGTGCTTACATCTGGGGTGGGGTGGGCTTTAGGACTAGCATCTTCAATGGACAGCCCTCTGTTGGCCAAGGTGTGCTTTTCCCTCCACTTTACATAAATATCACAGGAAAAGATATAGAGCTTGGAGAACAAAGCAAGTAGAATGTCCCCTGGATGAGGTTCATGACCCAGGAAGAGAGTATTGTTTCTTAAAGTGTGGACCCCAAGTTAACAGGCTTACCCAAATGACTTTCAGTGACACACATGTGAACTTTTTTTTTAGTTTACTAATTGTGTAATCTCCTATGTATTAAAAAGAAATAAGCACATCAAACCTATTATTATAAAGATATTCTTTAATAAAAGCTCTTGCATTTGGGTGAAAAATGAGTTGATTTAAAGATAAGCATTATGGAAGTAATGGTTACAGGATATGGCCAAAAGATGGATGGTGGTGGTCCAAGTTTGGGAAGCCTCAGAACAGAAAAAATACTTCTGGGGAGTGTGGAGGTGAAGATAAAGGTGAAGCAGTGCTGTGCTGTGGGTCCTATCTACTGGTAGCAGCCTGGGGAATGAACAGAATTATTTGCAAAGCAGTGTTATTATGCAAAACTCCATACTGGGAAAGCAGGATGCAAATGCAATGTTTTCTGAACCCTACTGTTTCCTCAAGGAGACCTGGTGAGATGGTGGTTAAGAGCTTGACTGCTAACCTACAAGGTCTTCAGTTCAAACCCACCAATCACTTTGTGGGAGAAAAGACCTGGCGATCTGCTCTCATAATGATTGTTGTTGTTGTTGTTATGTGCTGTAGAGTCGGACCTGACTCATAGTGACCCCTCCTGGGGTTTCCGAGCCGGTATCACTACGGAAGTAGAATGCTCAACCTTCCTTCCGAGGAGTGGCTGGTGGGTTTGAACCGCCAGCCTTCTTTTTAGCAGTCAAGTGCCTTAGGCATTATGCCACCAGAGCTCCTTTCATAATTATTACAGCCTAGGAAACCCTATGTGGCAGTTCTACTGTGTTCTGTAGGGTCACTGTGAGTCCAAATCAACTCAACAGCACCCAACAACAACATTGTTTCCTCAGAGGATTGAAGAATACATTGGTGGATGTCAATGCAAACACCCAGCCGTACAGCTCTGGGATGAGGGTTCCTAAAGGCAAGGAGATTTTAACAGCAGTCTTGGTACAAGTGTTTCTAAAGGCTAGGAGGAGATTTTATCACCATATCCCTGGACTGTCAGATACAGAGCACCCAAATGTGGGTTGCTTTTCTTTCTTTCTTTCTTTTTCTGCAAAGCACAACACTTTACAAAAAGAGAAACACTTCAAAGGAAGTCCTTTCCTCACATAAATTTCAAGGCCCTATTCAAGATCCACATTCATCTTCCTTATCCAATTACAGGATCAAAGCAGAAGCGTTTGGCCTACTTTGTGGGTTTAAAGACATTGAGGGAAAAACTAAGAACATTTAAAACTACCTTTTTTTATGTCACAGGTCTTTCTCTAGGAGAATCTGAGTCTGTTTTCACTATCTGCTCTTTACAAATCTCTGGATACAGAAAGCCAGGTCAAAGCATTAACATGCTCTAATCACCCAAGCCATAAGAGAGTCCATTACATCTCTCAAAAATCCAATCTCATCTCAATTTGCTGTGTCTAGTATACATTTTACTCTTGATGCTACTTCAGCTTCCCTCCAGATCCCACTGCCAAACTCTTGATTTTTTTTTTCTTGATTAGTTTTAAAGACCTTACATGTTAAAATGAAAACTACCAAAAAAAAACCACTGAAATGTTACTTTATTAATCTCTGCAAAGCTACTGATATTTAGCACATCTGTTCATTTTAATGTTACAATATGGGGTTCATATTTCCTAAAATAGGACAATCCTTGTCCTCAATATCAATGCACTGGGATTTGAGGCCCTGGTTAGAAAAAAAAAAGAAAAACAGCAAATATGATGTTCTCAAAAATATTTAAGTGCCCAGTCTGCCCATTGGTGGATTGATTTTTCTCTATGGAGATAAATTTGTTGGCAGCCAACAGAATTGGAGTATAAAAGATGACCTCGGGCAGCTGCTGCCATTTGTCTTGTTGGGAAAATGAGGATTTTGTTTCTCCCCAGAGGTAATGCTGTGATGCTCTGAACACCGTCGGGGTTCTGTTTCTGAAGGGTTACACTGGAGAAGAAGAATGCCTTGTGGTTTATGACAAGATTGCCACAGAATATTTTGTGCACACTATGATTTGTATCGCCCATTTGTGCATAGGCCATAAAAGTGCACTTTTTATCAGGAACATTTGTGAATATATAACAGCACTGAAGACATATGGCCACTAAATAATTCACAGTTATCTATCTTCTCAGCAGATTCCTTATACACCTACCATGTTTTAATGCCTACTTTCCTCAAAAACAATATTCTTTACAGCCCTTCCAATCTAAAAATGTTTACTGACTGACAGCAGTATATGGATACCATGGGATTGGACTGTAAGGAAGGGATATGCTTTCTACCTTCTCCAACTCTCCCCTGAACTCTCAGTTGCCCCTAACTCTTCTAACCAGCACCCTACCTTACAGGAAAAAGTGCCATTCCCAAAAGTGGATGCTAACATCTGATTTCTGGTATTAGAACTGTAAGATGGAAGTCACTGACTAATCTTCACCCTCTTCTCTTTTCAGTTCAATATCCATTTACAGTCCCAAGGAGAATCCAAATGTGTTTGACGCTGCAGCATTCTTCCAGTCTGTGGGGAATTTCTTGGGGATCTTTGCCGGCTCATTTGCAATGGGATCTGCATATGCTGTTGTCACAGCACTGATATCCTTTTGTCTGTGTGTTAAAAGCTGGGGACTATTAAGAATCAGGCAATACCCCTGCGATGTAACTGAGGATGAACAACCTTCAAGCCAGTAAAAGACTAGTTTGGTTGGAGTGTGACACCATGTCCCTGGGCCATTTTGGTTCTGAATCATCCCTGCAGGCACAGGCAGTCACCAATGGCAGAGAGGCCAAATCATTGTCTTGTCCAAGGTCTGTTCTAGCACTGTTAATACTGTCTGGTCTTAGCATATTAACAGTCTTTAAAAAAAAAAAAAAAAAAAAAGCCATGTAGAAATAGTAGTAAATAGAGGGCATCAGTATTTGCCATATAAACTGATGATTCCAGGGTCAGAAACAAGACAGAATTGACTTACAATGATAAACTGGGTATGCTCTACTCTTTTCCAAGCTTGTCAATCACTAGCTTACAGGGCAAACCAAAGCCAAAAATCACTGTGGTTTTGAATAAGCACCCAGAGCAATTTATGGAAGGGGATCTGTGAGCAATAAGGAAATTATATGTTTGCCACATCTGGGCAATTGGGTTGTCTGATTCTTTCTTTGACAGCAGGGGTGGGAGAGTCCCTGGAGGATTAGCCCTATGGAGGAAAGGTGTTGAGGGTCGAAGCAAGTCCAGGAGACTATTCACTCGGAGCAACTATGGGTGAAGTGTGTTAGAGCTGAGGAGGAGAGCCAGAAGATCAATGCCAAGTGTGAGGGCTGAATGGAGGCCACAGAGAAGAGCCTGCACAAAGATCGAGGGCCAAAGACCTTGAGGAAAAGGACAAAAGAGGTTGCAGGACTCCAGCAAAAAGAGGGCAAAATGTTAGGATCTTTTCCCATGGAGACCTACTCAGAAATTTACTGAACATCCACTAAAAGCATATACAGGTAGTCCCTGACTTACAATGTACTCTGCTAAAGATGTCTAAGAGGAGTCGGGAGAAAAATAAAACATGGATCCTGCCTTCAACTAGTGACACATTTAAAGAAAAAAGCTATATATTGTAGAATAAGAGTGGGACAAAAAGTGGATGTCAAAGCTATAGACAAGAGATTGGGACTGTAACATTCAAGTTGGAATGAGGCCATAGTATCTGTAATAATCTGATATATTTGTGGCCACCCTTATGATTCTGGAAAATAATTTGAAAAGTAGTATTTATATGCATAGTGGGATTTGGGGTTGGTCTGAAAGATAGGTAGATTATGGGGCAAAGCCTTGGGTGATAAATTGATTCAGGCGGGAAAGACCAACATTTTTAATGTGTATAGATGGGACTGGTGTGCCACATGCACAGATGTGCCTGAAAGGGTCACAAGGCTTGGACTGGTGGGAAATGGAAGATGAAGGAGCACAAGTGGGATGGTAGCAGCTTGTGGAGCATCGTGGGATGTTATTTAAAAGAATCTGAACTTTTTTTCTGTAAGCCACAGGGAAAATAGCTTACAGAAGCTTTCTGCATAAAAGAGTGACAAGCTGAAAGTGCTGTTTTTAAAACATGAATGTGAAACTAGTATGTAGAATGAATCAGAGGAGGGGAATTTGATAATGACACTAACTTTGGAAAGGAAGCAACGGGACGAGACCAATGTTTAGCGGGAACAGTCTCTAGGTTTTAATGATTAGTTGGCTGTAAGAGACAAGAGAAAAGAATTAAAGACCACTCCAAAGATTTTCTCTGGAAATCTTAGAGAATGGTATTGCCATTGACAGAAATAAAGTGAGTCGGCAAAGTTGGGGTTGGTTTCTAACAAAAATAACAGTTAATGATCTGCCAAGTAATTATGATATGCCAGGCTCCTTGCCACTTTAATCCATTTAATCTTCATAATGTTCATCCCATATAGATATTCTTTCTATGGGATACTGAAGCTTAGAAAGAGTGAGCTATGATTGCCCAAGGTCATGCAGCTAGAAAGTGATAGAGCTGAGAAAAACTAGAATCCAGGGAGTGGGAACCTAGAGGTCATGCTCTTAATCATTACTTCCTGTTGCTTCTTAATTTGGGGATGCTATTGTGAGAAAGGTCACATGTTGTTTGAAATAAAGTAATATAATGATGATAGCAACAGTTTTTGAATGTATACTGTGTGCCAGGGTCTTTACATGCATTTCTTCATTTGAATCAATGCTGAAAGACAAATTATTATTACTTTCACTTTGCACATGAAGAAACTGATGCTCAAGGAGGTTAAGTAGCTCACTCTGGGTCAGGTATTAGTAATAATGAGCATGGTACTAAAAGTATCACCTAACATTTATGGAAAATTTTACTACCTGCCAGCCATTGCCCTAAGCATTTTGTATGGATTATCTCAGATATTACAAGAATCCCAGAAGGTAGATACTATTATTATCCCAATTTTACAGCTGAAGAAACTCATTCACATAAAGATCAAACCACTTGTCTAAGGCCACACAACTAGTGTCTTATGGGGTTAGGATTCAAACCCAGGCTTGATTCAGCTCCAGAGTCTGTCCTAGGTAGAGGAGCTGAAATAGGTACTCTAACTGTTGTGAGGGAAATGTATAGACACATAAGTGAACATGTTCATAGGAGAAGAAAAAAATTTCCTGGTGATTGGAAGTCTGCCATGAGATTGAATTAGTTTTGGAAGAAAGAATATAGAGATGAAGAGTTGGAGACTTGATGACTGTGGCAGATCAATCTTGCAGCATTTGATGGACTTTAGCTAACTCTCACAAACACAAGCTGTGAAGTGGGCAGGGGCAGGCACTTAAAATCATCTCCACCACAGTAATAATTTCAAAACCTAGTCCAAAATGAGGCAAAGAGCTCTGGATATAGGTGTGAGGGTCGGTCCAGAACTGAATTACTTTTTGGAGGAGGTTGAAAGAAAAGAACACCCAACAGCTTGTTGATATTGTGTTACTCAAACTTCATTTTAAAACAAACTAGAAGAGGGAATTCAGAGGAATAAACTCCACTAGAAACAAAGACTATTCTACAAATAATGAAGATACTGAGAAAAGGATCTAAGGTCTCCTCATGTTTTCTCCAGATGAAGAATTATTTCTAGATCTTTACTGGGTCTATTTTCAATCAAGATATTTTTCAAAACAAATTAAACCAAATCACAGTAATAGTTGGTGAGTAGCGACCAGGACCTTAAAACCTTGCAAACGGCCATCTAGATGCAACTATGGGTCTTTCCTCATTCAGAACAAAGAAGAAAAAAGAAAACCAAGAACACATGGAAACAATTAGTCCAAGCAATTGGTAGATCATGTGATCCTCATCCTAGATGACTGTGAGACCAGATGAACTAGATGGTGACTGGCTACCACTGTCAACCACTCAGAGGGGGATCTCTGAATACAGTGGGAGAACAATATGGAACAAAACTCAAAATCACTTAAAAAGAAAAAAACGGACCAGGTTTGCTGGTCTGATAGAGCCTGATGGAACCAGTGAGACTATGGCCCCTAGCTGCCCTTCAGGTCTGGAATTGAACCCACTCTTGTGGCTTCCAGCCAAACAAAAGACAGGCATATGAGCTGAATATTTACATTAAGTAGATACACTCCTTGGAGAGATTGATCATGGGAGAATAGAAGGGCTGTGTATGCACAGGGAAAAAGCCCAAGGGGCAGGAGTGCATTGGAGGGAAGGACACAGGGAAGAGGTTAACTATGGGGAGGAAGTGAGAGGAATAAATTGTGGTAAATTATAGTCAATGTCACGAGACAAAGTGTATGTGAGCTGCTGTATGGAAAGTGAATTTGCTCTGTAAATTTTCACACAAATCAAAATAAAAATTAAAAAGTAATAGAAAAGCTTACATACCACTTGCTGCATAACAAACATTGTGCTGAGTACTTAATGCATATTAATGGGTTTATATAATTACGATGTAGGTTGTATGATTAGCCTCATGTTCAGATGAGGGAACTGACGGTTAGCATGGTCAAAAGATTTGTCCAAGCAGATATGTGAATTTGAACCCAGGCTGTCTGCTTCCAGAGTTCACTCTCCAATCACTATGTTGTTCTGTCTTTCAGTATTTTGTTCTCTCTAAAACTTTACAAAGCATTTTTAACATGCATCATCTCATTTTTCTCTGCACACTGTGGAAGTAGGTATAATCCTTATTGCCAATTCACAGAAAATAGCAATGAGTCTCAAACAAAATAACATACTGCTTAGAAATCACCCAGTCAGAGCCAAGAGTCAGACATGGAGCTTCCACCCCAGAAGTCAGTCACCCTTGTGCTTCCCTGTCTACTGCTAAATGTCGCTAAATGTGGAATCTCCATCAGATTTCATTGTAGAAGCAAAGAAACCCCACATGACAACATATCCTTCTTATGTATCAGGAAGTTTGGGGCCTAATGTGGACACAATTGCAATGTAACCCCTTTCCATTGATCAAATACTCCTAATCATCTCCCCATAACCCATTCTCTGCCTATCTTGGATCACTATCTCTTTATCCTATTTGCAATGTATAGACTATTGACCAAATGTCATCCAAGCCCAAATGAATCATTGCCTGCCAAAGGGCATCTTGCCTGACCTAGAAATAATACACTTTCTCCTCTATCCTACTTATTCCAAGAGGGCATTGGCATCTTTCCTATCATTGAATACAAATTTTCTTCTTGATCTTATTTCAACCCCCAAGAAAGAAGACTCTACAAGGCTTTCTGTCTACAGGCCAGTATTCCCTAGGGACCAGTAGCCTTCTTCAGCATCGACACATTTACAGCATCATCACCTAAGCCACATTCTCCTTTATTTGCCATATTTGCTACAATTTCCCTGAGATGCACACCACAAGGATTGAGCACAATTCTACAAGTTGTGTGCCCACATTTAGCTGATTTTATCCTGTTAGTCAAGATGCCTCTGTCCTGGGAATTTCTCAGGGGATTTGAAATTTCCCTTTGGATGGATTTGGAGAAACCAAAAAGTCTGTGTGTGTGTGTGGGGGGGGCGGTCATTACTGGCCTGAGCTTTATTAAGAATAAGAGGAGAAAAAACAAAATAGAGAGTTTACAAAGTAATAGATAAGAGAAAAAGATAGACACAGGCTTACACAACTCTCTAGCAGCTTCTGATCCAGTGGGCGGCCAGGCTGGAATGGTTCCAAGAATATCGACAAAAACCCACCCATCTTTTGGGAATATTTATACCTGAGTCTGGGGAATTGGAGACAGGGTCTAAATGACCAGGACTGGAAGGCTACCTGACCGGTGTTCAGACTCAGTGGTGCTGGATCACTCAGTAGGGGTTCCTGAGCAGCACTTTCTGAACCCCCTGTATTTGCTTTGATCAAGCACTGTCCCTGGTTAGGGCTTTAATTGCCCAGAGCTAGCTGAAGGACAGGTCAATCCTAACAGGGAGGAAGTGATTCGAATGTGACAGAGAGGGAGAAGGGAATGGTTAGCAGTTTCTTACAAGCACAGCTAAACAAAATGGGGTTTGAGACCATTTTTGGGTGTTGCAGTCATTGACTCTTTATCCAAATACACATTTGGATTTCTAAAGGTGATTTCAGCCTCCAGTGAAGCTGACCTTCAAAGTAGGCACCAATGAGTTATGGCCTTCCAGTTAGACTTGAAAATCAGGACTCTTACCTCAAAGTCGGGAGCTCTGGTAGCATAGTGCCTAAGGCACTTGACTGCTAACCAGGAGGCTGGCAGTTCAAACCCACTCAAACCCACCAGTCAGGGCTGAGTCTATGGCAAATAACAACAACAACAAGAACTCAAAGTCACCAAGAGCTCTGGTAGCATAGTGCCTAAGGCACTTGACTGCTAACCAGGAGGCTGGCAGTTCAAACCCACTCAAACCCACCAGTCAGGGCTGAGTCTATGGCAAATAACAACAACAACAAGAACTCAAAGTCACCAAGAGCTCTGGTAGCATAGTGCCTAAGGCACCTAACTGCTAACCAGAAGGCTGGTGTTTCAAACCCACCAGCCACTTCTCAGAAGGAAGGTTGGGCAATCTGCTTCCATAGTGATGCTGTCTCGGAAACCCAAGGAGGAGTCGGGGGCTGACTGGATGGCACATAACAACAACAACAACACTTTAAAGTCAGCAGGTTAATTTTCCTCAGATAAAAATGCAATTTCTTTGTTAAAGCAGTTGTTGTTTCCCTTAACGTATCTTTGTCACTTGACCAAATTTACCAAGCTGTGTGAGTTCCCAATGCTGGAAACAGGCCTCTTTTTCCTCTTGTCTTGGAGCGCCTTTCTGTCTGCGGAGGCTGCCAGCCTAACAGGTCAGTGCTTTATTTTGTGCTACAAGCTGAATGTGTGAATATGTTTGCATGTGTCCATGTGTACCCCGCCCTGACCCAGAGGGAGGTGAGACAAGGTTTCTCTTAAAGGTATTTGTGTTAGAATCAGCCTCTCTTGGATACCTTGGGGAGAAAAAATAATACTTCATCCATTTTGTATAAAACAGCTTAACAGAAAGTCTCCAAAATGCCACCTCCTATTCTCTCATTGCTGGTCAAGAGAGGCTGTTGATTTGAATCTACAAATAACCGATATATAGAGAGGTGATAGCTGACTTTACAAATGAAAGTCCCCATGCAGCACATGCAGGGATGTTCACAACTGCTTTGTAAAGGAGGTCTGTGGCTTTCCACTGGCTGATAGAAACTCATACTAGAATAAGCTGCCTCTCTAGCGTGTGTACAATCTCACACATATCAGGGCCTGAAATCTTAACAGACACTCTGTTGCAGGTCTGAAAACAAAAAGCAAGTGTGGCAGCTGTACAATTGAATATCTTTTACAACATAACACACAGACACACAAAGTCTATAGAGAGAGTTCCCATAGAACTGTTGATAGAGAGAGGTACAGTCACTAAGGTCCAGGGGCCGCTAATCCCATGATATGGATTCAGCAATTAGATTGCCCTTATGCAGTAGCGTGGGTTTGTGCTTGGCTAGCTGCAACGATTGGATGCTTTTCCATGTAGAAGAATCACTATTCATCCAAACAAAATGTCAAAGCTATTCTTCTTCGGTCTAGTTCCCTGCTTCTCTCAGGTTTTAATCCTTGGCCTCTTTCTGCTAACTACATCTTAACTGACAGTTAAGTGGTCAGAATCCCCGTAAAGTGTGAACTGAGAATAAAGCATGCTTGTGGTATAGTGCCTAAGGCATTTGACTGCTAACCAGAAGGTTGGCGGTTCAAACCCACCAGTCCACTCTGCAGAAGGAAGACTGGGCAATCTACTTCTGTGAAGATTTACTGCCTCAGAAATCCAGAGGGGGTTGCTATGAGTCAGAATTGACTCAATGGCAGGGAGTTTGGTTTGTTTTTGGTTTCCCTAGGTATTTGCATTTTGTTAAGACATACTCTACTTCTGTGTAATAATAAAAGTGGACATATATTGAGCGTGTACCATAAGCCAGTTGCTGGTTAACTGCCTTTTATGGATGATCTCATTAATTTACAGGAAGAGTCAAAGTAAGGAATCTGCAGTTTACTCAGTCAATAGTAACTTGAGAGTTAGGATTTGAAAGTAAGAAATCCTATTCCAGAGCCTAGGCTGTTGGGTGCCAAGCATTGCTCCTTTATGAATGAAACACCATCTGTGGAATAGCAGATAGGCCCATACAGTAGGAAAGTGTCTGAGACCTTTGTTGACTACCTGGTCCATTTGCCCCTAGGCTGGTTTTGACCCAACTCTGCAGATTGGCAAGGGTCAAGATATTCCAACAGGCTTTGAGGGTATCTGTTGCTAATACAAGAAGCTCTGGTAGCATAGTGCCTAAGGCACTTGACTGCTAACTAGAAGGCTGGTGGTTCAAACCCACCAGCCACTCCTTGGGAGGAAGGTTGGGCAATCTACTTCCGTAGTGATACCGCCTCAGAAACCCAAGAAGGGGTCGTTATGAGTCGGATCCAACTCCACGGCATATAACAACAACAGTTGCTGATACAAGGAGTTCTGGTCACATAGTAGTTAAGGCATTAGGCTGCTAACCAAAAGGTTGGTGGTTCAAACCCACCAGCTACTCTTTGAAAGAAAGATGAGGTAGTCTTTTTCCGTACAGATTTATAGCCTTGGAAACCCAGTGGAAGTTGCTATGATTTGGAATTGACTTAATGGTAGTGAGGTTGCTTTGATTTTGGTTGCTGATACAAAATCCTTGGTTGGTGCAAATGTGCTAAGCTGCTAATGAAAAGGCTAGAGGTTTGAGAGTGACAAGACGTTGCTTAAAAGAAAGGTGTGGCAATCTACTTCCAAAACAATGCGTCATTGAAAATCCTGTGGACCATATTTCTACTGATGCACATGAGTTTTCATATATCAGTCAACTGGACAGCAACTGTTGTTTTTTTGGTTTCTGATACAGACTGTCAGCATGCCAGTTCTTATGACACTATAAGATTATATTAGCAGATTTCACCCTACTCGGCCATTGGACCCACGTCATTCTAACAGGAGGTATGTTATGGTAGTGCATGACCATATTATGAAGAAGGTTGCTCAAAAGCAAACAAAGACCACATAAATTAAATAATTTTATGTCCTTTAATTGAAATAATGGAGGAAAACCATTTGTATCATGTTGTTTTTGTTAGGTGCCATTCAGTCAGTTCTGACTCATAGCGACCCTATGTCCAACAGAACAAAACACTGCCCAGTCCTGCACCACCCGCAGTCATTGCTATGTTGAAACCCATTGTTGCAGCTACTACGTCAATATATCTATTAATGGTCTTCCTCTTTTTTGCTGACCTTCTACTTTACCAGGTATGATGTACTTCCCCGGGACTAGTCTCCCATGTTAGTATAACCAAAGTATGAGAGAAAAAGTCTGGCCATCCTCACTTCTAAGGAGCATTCTGACTGTACTTCTCCCAGAAAACATTTGTTTGTTCTTCTGACAGTGCACAATATATTTAATATTGTTCCACAACACCATTATTCAAATGTAACAATTCTCTCTACCTTATTCACTGTCTAGGTTTTGCATGCATATGTGACAATTGAAAACACCAGGCACATCTTAGACTTCAAAGTGACATTTTTTAAAAATACGTTTGATTGAAATATAATTTACATATAGTGAAATACACAAAGCTAAAGTGACATGGGACAATACATTTTTTTGCCACTGTTCCCTCTCCTCACCCCCACCCCAAGTAACCAACAAAGAAAATTTCCTTCCATGTATAAATCTTTCCTTAATTTTTTACAATAATCAACTAAAACCTTATTTGTCCTTCTGTGATTGACTTATTTCACTCAGCATAATGCCCTCCAAGTTCATCCATGTTATGCAGTGTTTTGCAGATTCTACATTATTCTTTT